GAACAGTCATCCGTTCTTAAATCTGTGAGTGTGCATGTGTGTGTGTGTGTGTGCGTGTCTCAAAATAAGTGTAACAATAAAATGATTTTTAAAGACAGAACTTAAGTGCAATTAATTTATTTAAAAATAACAATAATTTTCAGATGTAGTTCATTTAGATTTCGTTTATTTTATACAAGAAATATGCAAAAGCTGTTTGCATTTCACACGAGGGACAAATAAATAAAATTAATAAAAGCTTCTTTTATTTAATTTTTGTTTTTAATTTTTTGATGAACAGACTTTTTTTTCTGGCGTCAGTCATCAAACATAAATATATTAATAAAATTAATTAATATTTGTATTATTATTTATTGCATTGGTTTATAAGCTTCACAACTCTTTTGTCAGTAACCAATATTTTATGTATGTTTTATCAGTAACCAATATTTTTTGTCAGTAACCAATATTTTTTTTCAGTAACCATTAATGTAAATACTTTTATATTAAACACTTTTAGTGATCGGAATTTATCCACGGTATTTATTGATACCACTAATAACTTGCAAATTAACTTACCTGTTTACGTAACTTGTCAGTTCCAGTTAGTAAGTCTGCGGTATCAACTCTTTACCAGTTCTTCGGGTTTTTTGATCTACCCTATAATATATACTTTTTTTAAATAAAATAATTTTCACAAGCAAAAACTGTCTGTCGATCTATGTTTACTCACCGTATCTATATTCCTACAAAAATCAGATGACATCATTTTTCTCAGCTCTACTTTATCTGGCCTAAAAAGACTTATTACAACGTCCAATATGTACAACAATTTAAACGGTATAAAGCTTAATGCTGTCAAAACAAAAATTTCACTCTCTAGATGCAGAAGAAGGAGGGGGAGGGGAGTAGAGCTGTGTCGGAGGGAGGAAGAAGAGCTCATTTGAATATTAAATTTTGAAAAGTGCTTATGAAAGAAGACTTTTTTAAATGTTATTTTTTTTTTATTTATGTTCTTTTATTCTTGCTTGATTTTAAACTTTATTTATTAGTTTGTTTTTATTTTTACCTTCTTAAACATATTTACGGAGGGTAATTAATAAAATTATATTAATAATAATAGTGGTTGGACGGCTGTTAACGCAATTGCTGTACCAACGTCGCACTCAACTCAGATATCAAAAAGTTGCCAAACCTTTTTATTCAAACCTTTTTTCCAAATCATTTTTTTCATTTTTTTTATAAAAAGTGAATTTTATGCAATTTTCTTACTTATAACGGCTAACTGTAGTTGCTAGTTCAATGCTGCGCTGACTCGCACATAGGTCCTTTGGCGGAAAGATGCATGTGATTCAACAGCGGACCAATGGCGGCAAACTAGCAGCTTTACAGTAAAGATCTGTTTATGGAAAACCAATGTTGGAGAACAACTAGCTTATATAGAACAATCTGTAAATTGTGAGATGATTTTGATGCGTGGATCTACATAATATAACTTTTTTAATAGATACTTATTTATTAAATAAACAATCATTAAAAGTGGTTTATAGAAGTAAACAAATAATTTCATTGAAGTTTAATCTGATTCTGTTATTTAATTTATAACTATTTAATTTTAGCGAACTTAATTGTTTACTACTTATAATTACGTAATCTTATCATTACCATTTTGAGCATAAACATGCCTTCCTGGCATCGTACATGCTGGTACGATGCCAGGAAGAAACAGCTAGTTCTTTTCAACTTTAGCTCCATGCATAAATATACAGTCATAAATTTTTCAATAAATTAATCCATTTTAATATATAAAATTCTTTTTATTTTTTGTATAATAATATTATACGGAAAATAATAAGAACTTATATACAGCGTATTTAAGTATAAAAATATATACAGCGGCTTGTTGATTTGTGGAGAATTTAATTTGCCAGGGATTAACTGGGATTCAAGCAGTATCCCAACTGTCAGCAACACAGATACCCTTTCAAGTAATTTTATTGACATCCTCGCCGAGTCGTTTTTGATACAATTTGTTACTAAGCCCACTTTTCAACTTGATGAAATTACATCGAACAACATTCTTGATCAAATTATAGCCAAAAATGAAAATCGGGTCCTGGATTTTATTCCCCATGCACCTTTAACGTCTCTGAAGAAATCTTACCAAGTCCTTCAATGGGATTACGTTGTTAAAAGCGCTGAAGTTGTAGGAAAATACATTGAAAAACGCATTTATCATAAAAGTAACTTTGTAAAGATATCCAAATATTTTATTTTGACAGATAGAATTCAATGGACGCAATACTTAAAGACTGTAATAACATTTTCCTGAACCACTACGAGGCTGCGAGTTCAACAGATCCTGTTCAAGTATGTTAATAGTAAACAAATTTTTAGAACTACAATAGCAGCCTTAAAAGGAATCAATGGCGACACTATCACAAATCCAATAGAAATTGCAAATCGGCTGAACAATCTCTTTCAAAGCGTTTTCAACAAAAATGAAGACGATGAACTGCCATATTTTATAAAACAAACTGAACCCATCTGCAAATAACGCAAGATCTGGTTAAAAATAAGCTGAGCGATTTATCAGTTGACAAAACCGTTAGTTTGGATGGTGTAACCGCATATGTACTAAAGAACTGTTCTGACAGCTTCTCAATACCTTTAAGCGCAATTTTTCAGAAGTTTTTTTAGACGCTAATGTAGCTTATGACGCATTCTTTAAAACTTTTTATGAAATATACGACGTAAATTTTCCAAAATGTACTGTAACTTTAAAAAAATAGAGGTTTAATGTCACCGTGGATCACACAAGGTCTTAGAAAATCTTCTAAAATTAAGCAAAAATTATATATTAAATACTTGAAAGCAAAAACACAAGAAAGTAAGATTCTTTACAATAATTATGTCAGAAAGTTTGAAACACAAAGAAAGAATTTTAAAAAGCTGTACTACTCCAATCTACTTGAAATGAACAAGCATAATTCTAAACGCACCTGGGAAATTCTAAGAGAAGTTACTGGTATGCAAAAAACAAAAACATGCGCACTGCCTGTAATCTTAAAAATTAATGATGGATTTTTGTCCAATCCAACAATGATATGTAATGAATTAAAATAAATTCTTTGTGTCAGTTGGTCCAAATCTTGCAAAAAAAAATTCCTTTTTGTGATAAACAAAATGGATAACTTTGATTTTCCGTTAACTTCGTTTCTAACTTCCTTTGAATTATCTTTTGAAGAATTTGAGCAATCTTTTAAAATGCTAAAGTCTAATAAATCTGTCGGTCACGACGGTATATATAGTAATGTGATCATTGACTCGTATGAGCATTTGAAAGATGTACTATTTAAAGTTTTACACTGTTCAATAAAACAGGGAATACTTCCAGACCATCTTAAAATACCCAAAGTCACACCAATTTTTAAAGAAGGTGATACTACAATTCTTACAAATTATCGCGCAATTTCTGTTTTACCTGTTTTTTCTAAAGTGTTAGAGAGAATCCTATATAACGTAATTTATAATCACCTTTCTTTAAATAATATACTTTATACTAATCAATACGGGTTCAAAAAAAATACATCAACAGAACACGCGATACTCCATATAACTCGTATTATTTCTGAATCGTTTGAAAATTCCCAATATACCTTGGGAGTTTTCATAGATTTATCAAAAGCTTTTGATACAATAGATCACCAAATTCTCCTTAAAAAAGTTAAATATTATGGAATTAAAGGAAATGTTTTAAAGTTACTTCAAAGTTACTTAAGTAACCGCAAACAGTTTGTTTATAGTAATACAGTTAACCCATCTAATTTATTAAATATAACCTGTGGGGTTCCGCAGGGCTCGATATTAGGACCCCTTCTCTTTCTCATTTATATTAATGATCTTCATAAAGCTTCTAATTTGATGTCAGTCATGTTTGCCGATGACACTAACCTCTTTTTGTCTGATAATAGCATAACTACATTATTTCGAGATATGAACATGGAATTAACAAAAATATCTGATTGGTTTAAAATGAATAAACTTTCACTAAATGTTGAAAAAACAAAATGGACACTTTTTTATCCAGCTTTTAAAAAAAAACTACTTCCTTGTGAACTACCTTTACTTTTTATTGATAAAATCCAAATAAAAAGAGTAATTAGTGCTAATTTTTTGGGTATCTATGTTGATGAAAACCTTAGTTGGAAATACCACATTGAATTCTTGTGTAATAAAATTGCTAAAAGTATAGGAATATTGTATAAAGCTAGAGGTGTGTTAAATAAACGTAGTCTAATTCAATTATATTTCTCTTTTATCCATTGTCATTTAAACTATTCAAATATTGCTTGGTGCAATGCCAATAAATGTAAACTGGAGCCTCTTTATCGTCTACAGAAGCATGTTGCTGTTCTTATTAATTTTAAAAACAGATTTAGTCATGCCAAGCCTCTTTTATTTGAAATGAAAATTCTTAATATATATAAGCTGAATGTTTTTAATATTCTTTGTTTTATGTATAAATGTGAAACTAACACTTCCCTAGTTTCTTTCCATAATTTATACACGCTGAAATATATAAAAAAAAAAAATACAATTTAAGAAATGATAATTTAATTCGTCAACCATTTTTTCAGTCTAATTTTGGAAAATCTAGTATTTCTTTTCGAGGAGCTTTTCTTTGGAACAAAATAGTTTTAAAACATTTTAATTTTTCTCAGCAATGGAGTTATTTTTCATTCAGAAATAAGCTTAAAGAAATCTTTTGTCTCATGATGATATATTGTCATATTTTTAAACGAAAATTATATATTAAATACTTGAAAGCAAAAACACAAGAAAGTAAGATTCTTTACAATAATTATGTCAGAAAGTTTGAAACACAAAGAAAGAATTTTAAAAAACTGTACTACTCCACTATCTTAGTTCTTCTGCTACAAAATTAATTTGATGTATTATTTTAGTTTATTCAGTTGAATATTTATAAGAACATGCACTTAAATGTGATTAACTATATATGCACTTTATATATATATATATATATATATATATATATATATATATATATATATATATATATATATATATATATATATATATATATATGTATATATATATATATATATTGAATTTTATGAAGTTTTAATTTACGAGCGGTTCTTGGTGAGAAGACCTCATGGTCTTCTGCGAGTCTCCGCGTTCTTTTTTATATTAACAAAAAAGTCTTAGTTTTATCTTTTATTTATTTCTTATTGAGTAATGTTTTTAACAATCTAATTGTAAATTTTTCTTAACGATCTAATTGTAAATTTTTCCTAATGTAAAAAAAACTTCAACTTTGCGCGAGTGTTTAATGAAACTATTTTTAGTTGTGTCTACTTTTACATTGATTTTTTCGTATACTTCATCAATTATAAATTTATTAGGCAAAATATCAGAAAATAAAATAAATAAAATAAAATAAATATTATAAATATTTTCGATGTTTAAGAATGTAAAAAGAATATGATAATTTTCTTACAAAACTGAGAGAGGTGAAGACTCTTCTTTTGAATACTACATATACCCAAAGACTTATAACAACGATATCTGACGTTTCAAAGTCAAATCAACCGAAATAAGGTTTAAAATATCCTTATTTTGTCCTTTGAAAATAATATGGAAGAAAGCGAGTAACATGCGAGTTTGTGCGGCCGTGGCGCAGTGGTTAGAGCGCTTGCTATATAAGCAGGAGATCCAGGATCGAAACGAGCTTTGAACATATTTCGCGTCACGCTTAGGAAGGAGGCATGAACTTTTTGGTTAAATGCACTTCCGCGGTGCTCTTGAGGAGGGGGGGAGTTGAAATATTGAAATAACAAGCCATGAAAATAAAACGAAAGTTAATTACAGTCATAAAAATAAAACGATTAGAATGGGCTTTAGCTCACAAAAACCTTAGAAGACTGGAATTGAGTAAGTGTAGTGGATACTTAAATACTAAATGCAAAATAAAATTGATTATAATAGTTTCACTTCTTTTTATAACATATTTTTTTAGAATTATTTAAATTTTTCTAATTAGTCCACTTGAAATTTTTGTTGAAAGGAACTCGTTTGTGAGACGTTGCCCTGAAGAGAAATTTCATCCTAATTATCTCACAAAGCGTATAAAACACCTTTTAAGAACTATTGTGTGGGATGTGATATTGGCAAAAAAAATGGGACGTCTACATATTGTTGAAGGGGCCACGAGGCAAGACCAATACAAAAATAGATTGTTGCCTTAAGTTGCTGAATTGTTCTTCAATAACAAATAATGAGTTTTCATGTACCACTCGACTCCGTTTCATAAAACCCAAAGCATAACAACGTTTTTAGATTATCAAAATATAAAAACTTTGCTCTGGTCAGTTTTACCCCCAGACTTAAATCCAATTGAAAATCTGTGGGAGTTAACCAAAAGCAAATGATCAAAGAATTCTTTACCAATAAAAAGCAATTGATTGAAAGACTTCTTCAAGTTTGGCAACAATGTGAAGAAATAAGAAATAATGCAAAAATACGCATACAAAGCATGCAATAGCGTATGCAAAGGACAGTATCACCAAATCTTGATAGTTTTTTACCATTTTAATCATAATTTTGTATTTTCTTTTTAATAAATATAATATGTATAAATGTATTTTTTTCTTATTGCAAATATATTAATCTCATCATAAATGCAAAAATAGCCTAACATTTTCTGCCTTTTGCGTATTTTTTGTATATGTTATAAGAAAATTTCTGTAATACCACACTGTCCCTAATCACAGTAATAATAATAACAATAATAATAGCAATAATAACAAAAACAACTGTGAAAGCTGTCACAATTGAGAATAAGATGTGAAGTACAATAACATAAGGTATTGTACTATGACAGCTATTATAAGTTTATGAAGAATTGATGCTTTTTTTTCTTACTCACAACAAAACTATATTGTACAAAAATAAATGTTTTGCAGATTTAAAAAGTCACGGCGCAAAATTTAAAAAAATCTGTTATTTTAAGGTTCTTAAACTCGTATATAAGTTCGTTGAACTAACGCTAAATCAACCTTAAACTAACGCTTGTTTTTGGTTTCTTTTCAATGTTGATCTAGCGTTTGCTTTCAACGTAGATTTGCGTTTCCATTTTGACCAAAAATCAACTATTTTTTAACCTGAAATTTTAATGTTTTTTCAAGGTTGAATCAACATTGATGAGCTTGCTGGGTTAATACGAATTCGTATGAATCAAAAGTGGCCAAAATAAACAAACCACAACAACAAAATTAACATACCGTAGAGTAATTAATTGAAAGTAATTAAATTAACGCCCACATCCGCACTAAAATTGATGTTGACAGGCTATTGCTAGACTTGCACAGCTGCACTATATATCATTAGATTAGCTTAGTTCTTCTGCTACAAAACTATGAAGATTTTTTTAGATTTTATAAGAGTAGTTGCAGTACCATTATAAATTGTACAGTTTGTCAAAAGCACTGATTCTCGCCCACTTGAACTCAATCTCACCATGTTGATTAAAAGTTCCAAATGAATGTATTTTGATGGTGCAGCGTGTGAGTTAACTGACATATAAACAATTAAAGATGGTGGGCGACATTGAATGAAGGACAAAATTATGTAAAGTTACCCGAAAATTTTTTTTTTTTTACAATACACAAAAAAATAAAAAACAACAAAATTAATAATTTGTTGACAATCCTTTAGCTTTTAAGCATTCATTGATCCGTTTTGGCATGGAATTTACTAAATTTTAAGTAATATTTTTTGGAACATTACTCAGTAATTTTGTTACTTCTTCTTTCAGCTGGTACAGATTTTTTTTTTAATTTAACCAGAAGATAACTCCTATGTCTTTATGGAAAATGTCAATAGAAGACATTAATTAATTATCAAGTACATCTAAATATTTTTAAGAATCAAGCCTTCCATCAAATAATTTGAAGCAAACAACACATTCATAGTTCATGCAGGCCCAGATGCCTTTACTGCCACTACCTTGTTTGGTTCTATACATTGAGCAACCTGGGTTCATTTTTCACATGCGGCATTCTTTTTAGCATTACTCTGTTTTTTCTTGAACCAGCCTCAATGTTCATTTCATTGTATAAAAGAACATTACGCTACATGCTCTTAGACCAAATTTTATCAGTGTTTTCTTACTTTCTGATGTTTTTTGATAGACGTTGTTTTTTGCAAGCAGCTCACCACATGTAAGATATAATATTCAATAACACCAGAAGCTTCTTGCCGTTATTGATTAGGTCAGTAGATGATAACTTTCTATTTTTTTACTATGCGAATAAGTGAAAGTTCTTTTCTTGATTTGAAATGCTGGTTCTTCCATGGCGCGGAAGATTTTTAATTGGTTTGCATTTGTGATATCGGTTGACTATTTTGCTAACAGTTACATGAGCTGAGTTTAAATGTTTTGCTATTTCTCTCATTGAGATGTTTTTAATTGTTTTGCATTTGTGATATCGGTGGACTATTCTGCTAACAGTTACATGAGCTGAGTTTAAATGTTTTGCTATTTCTCTCATTGAGATGTTTTATTCATTCATTGCTATGGTTTTACATTTTGTCATATTATCAATAATTTTTCCAGTCATTTTGGTTGTTTTATCGCAGAAATGTTGAAGTTAATTCGATATTAATTTTTATATTTCATTTTTTCAAAAATTTTCAGAATATTTATGACAACTTCTCAAGTAATTATTAAAATCCTAAGTAATTATTAATAATTCGCAAATAAGTTATAAGTTTTACTCAAAGACAAATGAAATTTTGAAGGAAGTTTGAAATAAAAGCGTGGATTGTTAATTTTGACCATTACAATTATTTTAGATTATGAGATATGCGTCAAAAAAAACAACAAGATAATTAGTACATCCATTATTATTTTTATGAATATCTATTTTTATTTGAAAAAAAATATGATGCTTGTCATTGACTACTTTTTATATTTGAAATGAGTTAAAAATCGTTGACTATCGTTGAATGATATAAAAAAAAAGACGATGGATTGTTACTAATGGCCAATACTGTATTATGATTATAAGATTATAATAAGGTAGTAAGATAGGTAATAGTAAAAGAGGTATTATCGAGACAAATAATAATGAATAGAGTAGGATAGTGGGACGAAGAAAAATAATATATATATATATATATATATATATATATATATATATATATATATATATATATATATATATATATATATATATCTATATATATAGTCAAATAGACACTTATTTTTGCAACTTATTTTGGGAAGCGATAAAACGGCCCACTTTTATCAACATTTTTTTCCTCGTCTATGCTGACAATACGGAGCTGCGCAAAATCCATTAGACATTGTTATTTTATACTGCATTTAAACAATTTAAAGTAAATGAAAAGAAAAAACAAATTAAAACTCATTGAATCATGCAATAATCAATCAATTCAATCAATTATTCAATTATATATTCTGGAAAAAAAGATCTAACTTCCACGGTCGTTACAAATAGTTATAAAAACTAATATAAAGTAAAAACCTCTTTGATGATATAAAACATATTATAGACACATAGTTATAGTTATAATAAAAATAGCAATAAATTTACAAAACAACAATAATAAAAATAATTAATTGTATAATAATAAGAATAACAATAATAATATTACCAGTAAGTATAATTAACACCCAATAATAATGAATAAAATAAAAACATGATAATAATAAATACAATACATATATAACGGAATTGTCAAATAAATATTTAATAGAAGGCTGTTCATTAAATACGTCAACAAAAATTATAAAAACCAGTAACTAAAAGAATTCAATCAATCCATACAACAATCAATTATATATACATAGTTACAGTTACAAACAGTAATAAACTGACAAAACGTAACTAATAACGATGACATAAAAACGATTATCGATAAAAGAATACCAAGACTCGATAAATATAATAATTTTAGTTTTTATAATAAAACAGCAAAAATATATTGTAAGTATAATAAACAAATAAAGAAAATATAAACAGAAAAACACTTATTATACATAAAACTAAGGTTAATAAGTAAAAAATGCATTAAATGCATACACAAAAATAAATGAAACAATAAAAATACACATCAATATAAACAATGTATTCACTAAACAAAACTTATAATTTTTTTCTTGATCTTTTCTTTTAATGACATTATTGTTTCTGGTAGACTAACGTAATTTATTTCGTATTTTTTTTTTTTTTTTTTTTTCTTTATATTTTCGAACTACTTTTTCTTTTACCGAATCTTTTTTTTTCTATTTGGTACGTTATTTTGACTTGCTTTTTATCTTTATTTGTTTGTATCTTTTAATCTTATTTTTACTTCATTTTGTTTTATAATTTGATATTTTTTAAAATGGTATTTTGATTTTTTTTTTCTCCATTTGATTTCTTTCCTTTTTTACCGTTAAATAAAAACGTCCTCCATTTGCGATGTCATTGCAAAGATGTATCTTATATAACAATATGATATAAACAATAAAAAAGTATAAATGAATAAAATAATTTTTTTTTTAGACTTATCTTAAATGGTAAGTAGCTAATTAAAACAGTAAAAACTTACTTCACTCACGCTTGATGTTGGAGAACCATCTTTATTTTGTGCTTATAAAGCCCAATATAATGAAAAATTTTAAATTCACAATAGCAAACTTAGTTTAGTTATAAATATATAAATACGATTAAATGTCTAATAATAAAAACCAGCTGGGGCAACTAGTTTTTTATCTCCCGACTGGGTAATTGTGTATCCCACAGATTACTATATCACAATAAACTTTTATCAGAAAACCAAACCTGGTGGCTATATTCTTGCTGACTGAGTGCTGATTCTTATTACTTACTACTGTTATTTGATAACTATTGCGTTTTTTTTTTTATGTAAAAAAATATGATTGTATCTTTAGGTTTTATGTTCTATACCAGCTTGAGTTTTAGTTTACAATTATTATTCACTACTTCGAGACTTGATTATTAGAAATGGGGAAACATTAAAAATCATAGCTTTTACGAAATACTAAAATTTTATGGACACAAAATCTAAACAGGTTTTTAATTTTCCTAGACATGTTCATAAATTGAGGAATTTGATGTATAAAATGTTTTCCTTTAATTATATGATAGTAAAGATTACTCAATTTGTTAGATAATAACATATTGAATATGAATGCCTTTGATCATTTTAGTATGAGTTAATGTAAATGTATATAATCAGGGTGGCCAGCAAAATTTTTTCGTTCATTTTCCATGACTTTTACCTAAAACTTTAACATACAAAGCTACACAAAATTTCACAAAGCCTTTTACTTTTACCCAAAAACATAAGTTTACTTCAAAATAATCAAAAGTGCTCTCATTGACTTTTAAATAATGATGTTATTATGAGACTTAGCAACCAATCAAAATTCCCGGAGTTTTGCATAATTTATTTAATTTCCTGACTTTAGCAGGATGACAAGTTTAGCAATTTGCTGGTCACCCTGATTATTTATAAGTAATACAAGTAAATTTATAGAAAATTTTCAATTTGAAATTAACACTATCCTTTAAAATGTATTAGGATTTTTATGATGTAAAAAGTAATATAATGCTTTTAAAAGCATTTAATTTACATTTTAAAGGATAATGTTAGTTTTAATTTGTTTACTTTTCTTTAAAAATCTTTTCGTCACCTTTTTGTACTGTATTTAACTCATTTTGTTTTAACACAAGTGTAAAGTTTTTAAAATTAACTCATTTTTTTGCAATGCTTTAACTTTTCTAAAACTAAGTCTTTAATATTTGCTGCTAACTTTCGTACTATTTTCTGTTGATTTTCTTGTTAATTTGTTACTACTTCTTGTTACGATTGGTAATATTAGGTGTCTCTAGCCACTACACTTTGTATGCTAAATTAATACTACTTAAAAATATTCAGTTATGATGTTACTATCAGTGACAGATCAAGGAATTTTTGATGGAGCAAGGGGGAAGGATGTTGAAATATTTATGTATTTCTTATTACATTTGCGTCTCCTTAAAAAAGAAAAATAAGGTCCTTCATTTCTGAGATTTTTTAGGACTTTCTAGGGGGTGAGGGGATGCATCTTCCCATATCGTCCATTCTGAATCCGTCACTAATTTCAAAAGATTTTTAAAAGCAATATGAATTGAAAAAGCTTATAAGAATTTTTGTTGTTGTTGTTTTACGAGATCAATCTGAATATTTGCAGACGAACATAAAATATATATACATAAAAATTTATTAATAGCAATCAAAGTTTATAAAAATGATAAAAAAAACTTTAATTTTACAATATAAAAAAAAATATAACTAATTATTTATGTAATTAGTTACATTTTTTAACTAATTATTTCAATCATTTTTCAAAAGAAAATTTTATTGAAGAATATAAAGAAATGCAAAAATCATTTATAAAGAGAATTTATATTATGAACTTATAAATGAATACTTCTAAAATTTAAATGTTTTCTGCCTAAAAGTATGCGCGCATGTTGCTTACAAAAAGATGTGACGTTGCACGGAAAGTCATCATAGATGCTATGTTATATTAAAAAGAATAAGGGTTTTAGTTTGAACAAAAAAAAATAATTGTATCATGAGCAAGAGAACTAAATTTATACAAAAATTTAATCAAATTAATAATCTTTTTAACTGTTTTTTTTTTTTATAGGAACCACCTTAATAGATAGAAGCAATTAGCCTTGCGTTAAAGCTCCTTAAACTAATGCGCATTTGTTTAACCTACAACGTGTCGTCGGAATAACACTGTTTACATTGTGACGTCAATCAAGCACTATATATGGCGTTGCACTTCCATTTCTAGTACTTCCATGCTTAAACACAAATAATAAAATGTTTTTGGTGTACAGTCTATTGGTTGTTATTTTTTCATACTTTTTAATTAAAATATCTTGGAAACTTTGGATTTATTCTTATGGTCTCTCGACTGTTCCAACACCTCCAACCATACCATTTTTTGGCAATTGTCTTCAGCTTGAAAGTGATTCTGTAAAGTTTAACAAACAAATACGCGAGTGGAGCAAAATATACGGAAATGTTTTCTGCGTTTGGATAGGCCTTAGGCCAATGATATACTCATCTTCTGTAAATTTCTCGGAAGCAATCTTAAGCAGTCAAAAAGTCCTCAAAAAAGCATCTGTTTATGAATTTTTGTATGAATGGCTTCAAACGGGGTTACTGACAAGCACAGGAAATAAGTGGAAACTGCGTCGTCGACTTCTTACACCAAGCTTTCATTTTTCTATACTCAATAATTTTTTAAAAATTTTTGAAGAGCAAGGAGCTTGTTTAGTTGATAAATTACGTATTTATGCCAAAAGTGGTGGAAATTTCGATATCCAGGTACCTATTGGATTAGCAACTTTAGATATAATATGCGAGACATCAATGGGAGTAAAAGTAAATGCACAGAGTCACCCAGACTCAGAGTATGCTAAAGCCATCGGTATATTAAGTGAAGAAATACCAAAAAGAATTAAGTACCCATGGTTATGGCCAGATATTATTTATAAACATCTTGCTTGTGGAAAAAGATATTATAAAGCTCTAGATGTTGCTCATAAATTATCTCTTGATGTAATAAAAGAAAGAGTTAAAACACTTATTCAAAATAAAAGCGAGGTTACATCAAATAAAAACAAAAAAGAATCAGGCTCTGAAAAAAAAAAATTTTTTTTAGACTTATTGTTAGATATGCATAAAAAAGGTGAAATTGATACTGAAGGGATTCAAGAAGAGGTTGATACTTTTATGTTTGAAGGTCATGATAGCACTTCATCAGCATTAAGCTGGATGCTGTGGTTGCTAGGAAGATATCCACAAGTTCAACAGAAACTGCATTCAGAAATTGATGAAGTTGAATTAACTGGAGGTTCACTTTATGAAAAAGTAAGAAACTTTAAATATCTTGAAAACGTTGTAAAAGAAAGTATGCGAATTCACCCACCTGTTCCTTTAATTGGCAGGCATATTGAAGAAGACATGGTAATTGATGGTCAGTTTGTTCCTAAAAGTTCTGAAATTGTTTTACTTGTAATGATGATGCAATCAAGTCCTGAATACTGGAAAGATCCATATGATTTCATACCTGAAAGGTTTGAACAAGAAGATTTTGTTAAGCGCAATCCATATATCTATATTCCATTTTCAGCAGGTCCAAGAAACTGTATTGGTCAGAAGTTCGCAATGATTGAAGAGAAAATGCTGTTATATATCATAATGAAAAACTTTTACGTCCAATCCATCCAGAATGAAAATGAAATACTTCTTGCTCTAAATATTATACATAAATCGAGTAATGGTATCATAATGAAATTCACTGAAAGATGATAAAAAACAAGACGATAAAAATTATCGTCTAAATGCTTTCATTTATCTCAGTCTATTTTTATTTTTGATTAATCAGATATATTTAGTTTTAATTTTTTTTTTAATTATATTTTTTTTAATAGCATATTTGTTATTTAATAGCATATTTTAATTTTGTACTTTACTTGTCAGTTTAGGAAATTTTAGAGCAATTTTTTTTTTTTATTTATTTTAAATGCAGAGAGTTCCTTAAGATATTTCATTTTTAAAATGATTTCAACCACCTCTGTAGGTTATTCAGTTCTATAGATATATATGTTTTAGTATTTTCAATACATGGACTTTTTATGAAATATTTTCTTTAAGTGTCTCGTTAAATTTTTTCTACCGAAAATTAAAAAAAGCAAAACTTTTATATCTTTTTTGCTTTAGTCGAGTTAAAAGATGCGTTAACAACTATATAATAAAATTTTATTGATATTAAAGAATCACGGTGACGTGTTAAATAAGTAGATCGTTAAATTAGTAGACAATTAGCGTCACGCATGCGCAGATATGGCGTAAAGCTTTCGTTTGGTCGCACAGTGGTTATAATGAAACTAAATCATAATATTGAAACAAGATCCAAATATTTGAATCTTGTTTCAGTATTATGATTAATAACTATTAATATGCATCTCTGAATAACTATTAATAGTTATTCGGAGATGCATATAGTTAAGCTGAAATTAATTTCTTCTGTGATTTTTTTGACCTGTGAAAATCTTTTTGTGTCGACTCAATATAAAATAAAAGTCAATTCAGTATAAAATAACAGCTCTATATGATCTTGCCTAAATTAAAGTATAATAAAAATATCAAAAGCTAGTTATAAAACGAGAAAAAAACTAAGTATGCTATTAATACGGTGCTTCAAAAATGACACTATACTGAATTCTTAAACATAAGGGCCAAGTTCTATTCATATCAGTTTCTGTACACAAAACTGATTTAGTACTTATTCTTCTTCTTCTTTGAACACAATTGCTGATTTATGAGGACCAGTTAAGTTTTCTAAATATAGATTAGTTATCAACTTTTGTCAAATCTTAATATTTGATTTTTGACTGAATTCTATAAAAATATTGACTTATAAAACAAAAAAAATTACCATAGGAATACCATATATACTATTATTAGTATATATGGTATTCCTATTACTCAGGTGATTTCGTTAATTTATTAGTCAATGTTTTATAGAATATATTTAAATGATATATATCATTGCTTTGAGAAATTTCTTGCTTGGTGTTGCTTAACGTACCTAAAAAAAGTACCGGTCGAAAAGTTGCCATCTACACAATTGAGTTCATTGACAAAACAAGTCATGTCAAATTATATCTTTTTATCAACTTTATAGCCTTCACTCAGTATAAATCATGTAAGAACACTCTATTTTTTAGAAAACATTTAAAATATCTCATATATATATATATATATATATATATATATATATATATATATATATATATATATATATATATATATATATATATATATATATATATATACATATATATATATATATATATATATATATATATATATATATATATATATATATATATATATATATATATATATATATATATATATATATATATATATATATATATATATATATATGTATATATATATATATATATATATACATATATATATATATATATATATATATATATATATATATATATATATATATATATATATATATATATATATATATATATATATATATATATATATATATATATATATGTATATATAAATGCAGGCGCCCCTGCATTTATGTATACACACGTGTAAATATATAATTATTTTTAATTGTTTAAATACAGATAAAAACTCACAAACATTTGATTTTATTTTCTCAAGAATCTTTTATACTAAAATACAATATCTTTTTGTATCGTGTTGAAATACAGCTATCTCAATGTTTATTTCAGTATTCCGAATGTTATTAGAATAAACATGAAAAAGGCAATCAGTTAGCAAATGATTCTTTATGATACTATATGTTTTATGATTCTATATGTTTTATGATACTATAAGCTACCGAGCAAAAAATGACGAGTAATTTAATCATTTGGTGCAATCTTTTGACTTGAATTTAATAATTTTTTTATTAGTTTTAAGTTCCGTGAAGTGTATTGGTTGATAAAAATAGCGGCCGTAGTAAAAATTGGCTTCAACAAAGTCACGTGGTACCGTCTCCTGTTTATTAGTTAATATTGTTATTATTATTTACTAGTTGAGATCGGACCCGTAAAAATAAGGTTCTTTGTAAGTCTATTCCAAACCGAACTTTTCTATACTTTTTCTCTATACATCGTAGTTTTCCGGATCCGTAAAATACGGGTCTCAACCAAGCCTAACATTTCTATCCATATCTATTCTGCACTGATTATTTATATACCTATTCCTTATTTAATTCAATATTTTTTAGTAAAACAATTTATTCTGAAAAAAATATTCAAGAGTAAAAAACTTAACATGCGCATTTTTTCCGCATATATAGAGCTTATAAAAGACTTATAATTAGGTTAATTTTTCTACTAAATGCATTATACTAAATTAAACTATTCTACTAAATGCATTTCATTTGACAGCTGAGTAGTTAAGTGCGCTGTCATCAGTTTTGTTTTGAAGTGTTTAAGACTTTTCCTAAGCGTAATAAATTTTGAAATTGTTTTAATAATGCTTATATACTTATAATAAAAAAATAATAATGTAGCAGAAAAGATATATATATATATATATATATATATATATATATATATATATATATATATATATATATATATATATATATATATATATATATATATATATATATATATATATGTAATAGACTAGTGTTGTTACGACTATTATATAATTCGACTGTCGACTAAAGATTACAAACTTTAGATGAAATATGGGAATAATTTATTTTCTTTTAGGGTAAAAATTTCTCAAAAAACACAAAAAAACACAAATCTGCACCCTATATCACCAAAATTTTTGAAACTTGGCACAAATGTTTATAGACATATGTTAGGAAAGATTGAAACTTTTTTTCATAAAATTCCTTACCGTTTATAATTTACAGTAATTTGAAGTTTCCTTGATTTTGACTAAATCTGAGAGGGGGAAAGTGCCGAAAATCATTCCGTTTACTTTCACCTTAATATGGTGCTTGTAGTGATGCCACAATTCTGAAACTTTGTACCAAAAAAGTTTAAAACCTGTTAAATCCGAAAAATATAGTTTTTTATATCTCAAAACAAGGGAATGTAGTTTAATTAATTTTGCCTTACTCAGTGAATGGATAAGTTTTGAAGAACATTCTGCAATCAATAGTGTGGAAGAACTTTTTAATTTGAAGATACAACACAAATTTTTTTGTCTGGTGACTTAATAGTAAATTGATCAATTGTGAGTTGTTTTTTTTTTAGGTGGAAAAAATTTTAACTGGATCTAGAATATCTGTTTCCTGAGTAGAATCAGGAAACAGGATACTAGATTTTGAAGAAGTAAGTTGATTAATTTCAGGTAATTTTACTACTTTAGGTGCAAAAATATTTAGAACTTGGTATTTTTTAGCAATACATTTTAAAGATATTAAAGGAACAAACTGATCTTTGTTTACAAATATATTAGAGGTCTGTTTAAAACCTGCAATAACTGAAAAGCAACGAAGAATGTGTATTTTTTTTACAGATGTGCTTAAAGAATGTTCAACACGTGGTCTAACAGTAAAATAGAAAAATATTTCATAAACAGTTTTTTTTATTTCATTTCTATCCTTTTCTATAGGATAATATGATTCAATTGGTATTCAAACAACACTTGAGAGAGCACACAAAGTAAGAAACAAGGAATAAGAATAATTTGTTGCAATATTAATAGATTCTGATATGACACTTAGTGTTCTATTATTTTTACAAAAGATGTTATATGCTTTTTGGGAAATAATAATAGAAAAAGCTGTGTTTTCATCAATTCTTCAAGATTTGGTAACATCAGTTTGCGAAAAAATAATTGGATGGTTTGAATAAAAATCTACATTTGTATATAATTCGATATCGGTCAGGCATCTAAGGTATTCTGACAAAGATTCGTTGCCAATTAATGATATAGAACAAGCATTAAATAAACAGTTTCTGTTTAGAGATGTTCTAATTAAAAAAAAAAAATTAATATAAGCAAAGCAATATAATTTATGTTATGTCACAAAATAACTATTACATAATTTTATATCATAAAATAACTTACTAGTAAATCATTTACTAAATGTAATTTTGGTATTATTCAAACATAAAATAAATTATAACATAATTGATTATTTTCTCCTTGAAATGTGATATAAATATATTATATACTTTTTTATAAACTTTAAATAAACAGTTTCTGTTTAGAGATGTTCTAATTAAAAAAAAAAAAAATAATATAAGCAAAGCAATATAATTTATGTTATGTCACAAAATAACTATTACATAATTTTATATCATAAAATAACTTACTAGTAAATCATTTACTAAATGTAATTTTGGTATTATTCAAACATAAAATAAATTATAACTTAATTGATTATTTTCTCCTTGAAATGTGATATAAATATATTATATACTTTTTTATAAACTTTTTTTTTTAGTAAAATTGTGTTCATGCTTAAATATATATAGTTAAGCAATTTTACTAAAAAAAAAGTTTTTTAAATTTAAGCACCTAGAACAAAATTTTACACATTTTTCAGCTTAAATAAAAAAGTTTGTAGTAGAATATTTAATCACAATAAGCTATAGTATAGCTTTTTGTATAGCCTATACATATGTTGTGTTGATTAATGGTTAAAAAAAAAGCAAATTAAGAAATCATGTACATGATTTCTTAATTTGCTTTATTTTTAACCATTAATCAACACAACACACACACATACATATATACTTCGTTTGTTTTTTTATTTTTAATTTAATATAATTATTTAAGAAACATTAACATTAAAATTATTTAAGAAAATTACCTCACTGGTTGAAAATCACTTTCTGCTCGAAATGATTGAGATACGGGAAACTGCATACTTGAAACTTTGCATATTTTATGCAATATACTTAGTGCCGATTTTTCATTAAACAAAAATATTTCTCTAATCTTATTATGAGCTTTGACAATAACATTACATAAAAACGATTCCTTTTCTGAACCCTATTTTCATAAAATACATTTTAAAATGATTTGAAGCATTGAATCTGCCTTGTTTAGAGCACTTAACCTACGAGTTAACCAAAAACTTAGTGAAAAACCTTTTTTCTGATTTTTGCGTGATTAGCTTGCACCCTTCAAAGATCTTTCTGATTGGGTCAGCACCCCTCAGAACCTGTTTTGAGTAGCTTAAGAAACCAAGCCAATCAAAAATAGCTTCTGAGGGGTGCAGGCCAATCAAAAATAATTCTGAGAGGAGCAGGCGAATCAGAAAGCGACTGTACGGGAGTTTCCTAGTCGAAGCATAAATATAAAATATGGTGGCGCTGAACGCTAAGTACTAGACAACAACAAGGATAATTATTTATTTTCGACTTCCTTCACAAAAAATGAAATCGCAAATTTTGAGTTGAATAAACTATTTTAACTATTCAACTTTTATTTATAAAAAATACAACGAAATAGGAAACTTTACTTGTTGAATGTTGACAGGTTCTGGAGCACCCTTTGAACCCCTCTGGATCCGCCCCTGCCATCACAAGGTTGCTTACCGTGACTAGTTGCAAAAAAGTTCCATTTAGCAGTAAAACCAAAATTTTCACAATGGAAACAAAGATTTAACATATTTTTGCAATTCTTATATTGAACTGCACACCCATCTGAAAAGTATTCAATATTTTTTATTTGAGGCAAATTTGTTTTTATATCATTGCAAACAACCTCCATAATTTTATAAACCATGTTCACACCATGGATCATATCATCCAAAATAATACAATAGGATTTGTGCTTGAGAATGCCTTCTTTTTTGAAATAAATAGTCACTGGATGAAGTGTACATTGTAAATTTGCCCAATGAAAGCTTTGCACTTTATCCTGAACTACAAATTTATAGTTTTCTGAAAAATCACCCAGAAATAATGCTGTTACCTTATTCATATCTTCCTTTCTTGATCTCAGGTATAATGCTTGACTCTTTGCTAAATACGAATGTGGTGCAAGTTTTTCCAGTTTTCTACATACTAGTTTAATGTATTCAAACACTGGCTCTTTATTATGTGTCAAGTTTGACCTATCTGTTGTTGTCCATTGATCAAATTCAATATCATCATTATCTTCAAATTCTCCAAGTATATCATAAAGTTTTTCAACCAATGCATTCATAGTTGCTGGGCATTTTTTACATTTCCTCACCATACAGTCTTTATTAGTTATATCACAGACAATATAAGGTAACAATTCTTTGTATGTCACACCAAGAGGATGTAAAAGCAATTTCAAAGTCTGATGAATAGCATAAACGCATACAGAATGTGTTCCTGAGGCACCAACAGTAATACACCATTTAGGTCGCAAGGTGCAAAGCCTTGAAAATCCTATTTTTATTTCTGGGTTCTTGGTTTTAAAGGCAACAAACAATTCCTTTAAATTACATAAGAGCAAACGTTTTTGCATATAGACATTTTTCTTTATGCTTACATAGTCCTTTTTACCAGGCATTATATGTTCATCATTTTCGTAAAAGGTCTTGACCAGTTGAACTGTTACATCAGAAAGAGCTTTTCCTAATTTAGGATTAGGCATGGTAAAAATATCTTTTTTTAATGTTAACTTAAGTGCAGTTCGAGCTACACAGTTTGTTACATGCAATGTTTCAGATACCTTTTTTATTGACCAGTCTGTTGGAGCAAGTGTTAAAAGTTGTACTTTTTTTGATGTTGATGTAGACTCTGCAATTTTGTTAGTTAACAATACCATCATGTTATCAAACAAATTTGCTTTTTCCATATACTCATTATTAAAACTTGACTATTCTTCAAAACTTTCTTCTGATATATTAAGGGAAATGGCTACCTTTTTTTTAATGGAGGTTGTTAATGCTGTCAATTTTCGTTTACCTCCTCTGATTTTACCTGACTTGTGCAATTCTTTGACCTTAATTGGAGATATTCCGGCAGATGCAAAGTGTGTATCTACACTTTCTTTTTTATTTTGAATGGATCCTTCATTAACAATATCAAAATCTTCATCATTTTTATTTTCACTTATACTTTTTGATAAACATATCATAACTTTACTTCGACAGGTTAGACACAGTTTTTTTCCAGGTATAAGATTTAAACCTATGGTTTCTGCTTTTAACACAATATGCATTGTAATCACAAGTAGAGATGCTTAAAAAGAAAGTAATTACATTACTTAAATAACATTAATCAAATATATATTGTAATTATATTACTATACAACTTGTTATATTAATAACTATGAAACATTGAACAAATCTTATTACCAAAAAAACTTATATGACTTATTAATAATGATATTACTTAATGAAATATAAATATATAATTTTTACCTCTACACACCTTTTGGTGACTCAGAAATGGATTACAGCAACTTTTCTGATTACCTTTATATCTTATAACTAACATATCATGGTGTGTGCATATATTAGTAATTTGTTCTTGTTTCAGATTTGTTCATTTTTCAAGTAGCTTACGATCATTGCTGTCAGTATCTTTAATCAGATTTCTTTCTCGAGTATATGATTGTTTATAACAAGCTCCATAATTATTTACAAAGAAGCAATTAATTTTGTTATCCATATAAAAATACAATAAGGAATCTGTCTAAACACTTAATACAAGAAATCTTAAATAATCTTAATGTCCCTAACAAGAAAAGTACACTTGAACACAAACAATATCATATCAATATGTATTTATAAAGAACATATTGCTTGAACAAGTATCTATTAGTTTAATAGACATATTTTAAATGCCTAACTATCTACTAATTATTGTAAATTCTCCATTAACTACTTACAAAAAGTTGTGTAAAAGTAAAAGATAACTAAATATAATTTTATTTAGTTATGTAACTTAACATGGTATGTTAATAGTCTGGTCGCTACATTTAAAAAAAAGGAAAACTAAACTCTTTGAGTGGACATTCTGATTTTTACATAGACTTGTTCTTTATAACTTAAGAAGTTTAAAAATTTTTATGTGCCACTTGGAAAGTGCTTATAACTTAAGTTAGAGACAAAAATTGATGCAGCTTATTGAAAAGATTTCAAGCATGATATATCCACCATGTTGTTTATAAAATTATTGATAGGGGGTTAATTGTTTGTAAAATTAGATGTTTTAAATACAATTACTCAAATCTATGTAACCAAAACTTCATAAATCTTATTTTTAAAAAAATTTATTTATAATTTTTTTTTTTTAATATTGTATTAAAAATATGAAATAATTTTAATTTAATAAATCTAAGAAATAAAAAAATGTTCCCGTTCTTTGTTTACGCTAAAAAATGTCTACTTTTCAAAAACTGTTTACTTTTTTTTATTTTATCGAAGTTCTTTTTAAAAGTAAAGAATTACCGTCATAAATAAAAGAAAAAAATCAAAGTCATTTTTATAAATAAAATAAAATATTTGCATAACAAACTGCAATCATTTTAAAAGAAACGGTTGTTGCAAAAATATAAAACAACGTGTTTTATTTTTATTATTTATTAACTAAAAAAACGTGTTTTATTTTTATTTATTTATTATTATTAAACTAAATAATGGCGAGTAGCTAAAAAGTGCAGCATTTTAATCTGGTTCCCAAAAAAAAAATTAAAAATGCTTGTTTACTTCATCATGGTGAAGTTGGTCGTAATAATAACAAATTGCGTGGTTTTACTGAAAATGCGCTTGCGAAAGTGAAGACTTGTGGATAGTGACTTGCAAACCAAGCATTGTGACTTACAATGCTTGGTAAGTCACAAACTAAATGTACAACTCAGTTTATTTTTTTAAATATGCCTTAAACAATGGTACGGAAAAAACAATAAATAGCGTAAATTTGATAATAATATTTTTTTTTTACTATCGTCAAATTCGAAATGACTTTAAAATCATAAACATTCTACCTGAAATTCAGGTCCGTATCCAGCATTTTTTGGTCTTCGAGATATCTAACTTTTAGACATGGAGCAAACTCCAAACATTTATATGTTTATACTTATGTCAAATAAGGATGCTTTGCAAAAAACTGCGATAATTGGAGCTTGGGAACAAAAAAGCCCCAAAATTTGTGCTTCCCCTGCCCTAAACGTGAGTGCAACAAGTTGATGAAATATTTTTGTACTATTTTTAACCAGGCTTATATTTATCGATAAATTTTAAATTTCATAGTAAAATATTTCAGCGTTCAATAATTATAACAATATAAAATTTGCGACCCCCTCAAATTGAGGGGGGTTTAAACTTTATATGGTCAAAAATCTCAAAAATAATGCTGGATACGGACCAAATAATGCTGGATACGGACCTGCTAATACGTGCCCAACAACTTTCATATTTCATCAAAGATGTTACGATAAGTATGTGAATATAAAAACATTAAACATTTTATAACATCGGAAAAATAGAGCAGAAAATGTCAACGAGAGTGTAGGCGTGGATAATGCATTCTCATTTAAGCGTAGAATCTCAGCTTGGAAAAGAGATTGATCAGGTAAATTAAAAATCCTTTTAGTGCGAATTGCAAAGCAAAGAATATTGCCCTCAGTTTTCACGTTTTTTTTTATGTTTTATGTACTACTTCAAAATTAAAATAATTCCTTTGTTTCATGAAAAATTATTGCGGATGAAAAGTGTTGCATTTGCTATTCAAAAAGACTAATAAATATAGGAACGGATATAAAACGCTTTCACCCAATGGGCACCGGACCTAAAAAAGACGTCTTTTTAACGTTCAAAAGACGTCCAAAACGTTCAAAAGACGTTCAAAAGAGGTCCAAAACGAGTATAAGACGTTTAAAAACGTCTTTTTTACGTCGTGCCTACTGGGCAAAATTTGTAACAGAAAGTGCAGCAAACATGTTATAAGAAAACGCTTAAGTAAAGCTGAAAACCCAGCTAGTATATTGGGCAAAACATAGTTTCCTTAGAGTTATATTATCATCGGACTTGTTACCTTAACTATACAAGACCCCAAAAAGTTCCTTTTATTTTAAAAGAAGATGCAATTATGCGTTTTCTCTTCGACTATGTGACAGCACAGGTATTAGGCAATTTACAGATTACTCATACAAGTAAGCTATTTGAATTTTAGAAGGAAAACTGCACAGATAGAGATTCTAGATAAAAATACTTTGCAGGATGCTGTAGTTGCAGAACTTGCGGGTCTGTTCAGCTGCGGTCACCAAAATAGGATATTCTTTCTTATGCAACAATACCATTGAGAAGGGGAAAATAATCCAAAACTGATTGAACAGCTTATCATGTCGCACAAAAGATTCGCAGCGTGGTTTTTTCTTTAAAAAAAACATACTTTAAATTGCCTATATATAATGCATCTATTGGTTTCGAAACCGTTTGCATTCACACGGTTGACACAGATATTGCTATTTACGCTTTGTACTTCAAAACCAACTTCAAATAGAACTATTTGTGGATATTGGCGTCTCTACTGAAAGACAGACTCTTGATATAAGTCTTATTGCCTCACAGTTAGGTACTGATTGTTGTAAAGCTCATCTTGCTCTTCATGCATTTAGCGGGAACAATTATACAAGTGCATTTTACGGGATTGGTAAGTCAAAGTTTCTCAAACTAATGAGACAGTCTGAAGAACACAAGTCAATTTTTCCAATGTTGGGGACTCTTATACCTTTGATGTAACCCATTATGACCAAATCGAAAAGTTTATATGTCAGTTATAAAAATTATAATGCAGTGATACGAACGAAGGAAGATACCTTAAGTTTATTGCCAAGAAAGAAGCTACGGAACCTTAAAAGTTTCTGGCAACTAGGGATGCTCTTATGTGTCATTGCAAGAGAGTTTTGTATCAAACAGCAATTGTCAAACAATCAGTGGAGGCAAATCTCAATATTCCAAAACCCAATGGATATGGATGGCAAAAAATTGGAAATCAACTTGAGGTTAAATTGATGCACATTAGACCTGTTAATTCCTATTCGTGTAAAAAGTCAAAATGTGAAAGACGGGTTGATTGCATGGATTGACTTGTACGCAACTGTTCGTCTTGTGAAAACACAAATAATTGAGACGACACCTAGACAAAATATCATTCAACTGATTCGAATTTTCCTTTTTAAAAATCTGCTCACTAAATTTTTTTTTTCGCGAAATTTGAAAAAATTATTATCGTGACGTCATCAGTACCAAACAAGGGCCCGAATATGACCCTTTAAGCACTATTAAAATTGCTCGTAAGTTTTTCTAAAGGTTTTATTATTTACTATAAGGTTTTCTCAAGAGATTATCTAACGTTTGACGTAAATATATATTTTTTAGTTTAATAAAAAAAAAGTAGACCAGCGTGACGTCATCAGTACCAAATAATACCCCAAATTTGACTCTTTAAGCACTTTCAGAAAGACACGTAAGTTTTTTTCAAGATTTTGTTATTTATTATAAGGTTTTTTCAAGAGTTTATCTAACATTTGACGAAAATATATTTTTTCTAGTTTGATTTTTTGAAAAAATGTCAAAATGGCGTCATCAGTACCAAATAAGGGCCCAAATGTGACCCTTTAAGCACTTTCAGAAAGGCACGTAAAGTTTTTCTCATTCAAGATATCAATGTTAAATTATTTAAGTAGTTTTTGTAATGTCCACTTCATTTCCAAGAAAAAGCTATACGTAGCGTCCAGACTATAATTAGACATTATTATATAATTTTATTACTTTTTTTATTGATGATAATAAATGTTTTATTACAACAAAACAATCAACAACAAAAGTTACATAATATTGTTAAATTTAATGACATGATATTATGTAATGAAAATGACATTATTATTATGCAATGAAAGTAAAAAGAAACAAATTTATAAAATGTTCAACTATGTTTTGTAATAATTTTGTAAATTTTTTACAAAGCTATTACAAAACAAAAATAATTGTATTTGTATTCAAAATATATTTGCAAATTTTTTTTTGCAAAATATCTTTAGAAAAATTGGAAAACTAAAACATCAATAAATACTTAATAAAACATAAGGCCAAATAAAATTTGGTTCGCAAAGTAGATATATGTTTTAATATTTAAAATAACGAAAACCTAAACTTTTTTTCATCAGTCAGATTTTTTCTAGAACTATAGTTGTCAATGCGTTTTGTGGATCTAAAAATAAACTATATTTTATTGTTTTGAGAAATACAAGTTTATGATTTTCAGATTCAGCAGGTTTTAAACTCCTTTGGTACCAAGTTTTAGCTTCGCAACATTACTACAAGTTTGTCAAAAGGATAATGGTAAATTGACATATTTCCGGCTTTATCCCCCCTCTTTTTTCAGTCAAAAAATAACTACTGTAAATCTTAAAAGGTTGAGAATTTTTTGAAAAAATTTATAGTCTTTCCTAACTTATATCTTTAAACATTTGTGCCAAATGTCAGCGAATTTGGTGATGCAGTGTGCAACCCCTTGTTTTTTGAGAAATTTTTACCCTTTAATAAATTGGCACAAAAATAATAAAGCAATTTATTTTTAATTTTTATTTTTTAACATTATCATTTTAATGTTAATGGAGCAAAACAAACATGAGAGAATGGGCGCTCCGACAAGTGTACAATTTACTCCCAGACCCCAATGATTCAGGGGTTGCCATAAATACTTACTATATCTGAAAGTCTTTACAATCACA